GTGAGGGAGAAGCAGGCTTCCTGCTGAACAAGGAGCTCGACCTGGGGCTCGATCCCAGGGTTCTGGGATTATGACCTGAGCTGAAGGCAGATGCTTAACTGAGGCAACCAGGCACCCTCCAAAAGCTTTTGGTAGATTCTATCAGATTTTCTATGTGGATGATTCTGTTGTCTGTGACGAGAGACAGCTTTGCTTCCTCCTTTCCAGTTTGGTTATCTTGTATTTCTTTTTTTGCCTTTCTGCATTGGGTGGAATTCCATGGAATGTAGAATACATACAAAACATAGAATACAGTGTTGAATTGAAGTGATGAAAGAGGATTTCCTTGTCGATTTCCTTATTTTAAGAGAGGGAGACATTGTCAGCATCACTAAGTGATGCTAACTGTGGAGTCTTTGTCATTGTCCTCTATCAGATTGAGGAAGATCTTTTCTAGTCCTAGTTTGCTGAAAATCTTTTTTTTTTTTCTTTAAATCAAGAATGGATGTTGGATTTTGTCAGGTATTTTTTCTGCATCTATTGAGATTACCATGTGTTTTTTTTTTTTTAAGTTGATGAATAACATTCATTTCTGAATGCTAAACTGACATTGCATTTCTAAAATAAAGGCCACTTGGTAATGATATATTGTCCCTTTTTTTTAGATTGTAGGATTCAGTTTACTACAGTTTCGTTTAGAAGTTTTGCATCTTATGTTCATGAAAGTTAATTGCGGTTTCATTGACTTTCTATGTTGTTTTTTGTTTTCTGTTTGATTTCTATCTACTCTGGATCTTCATTATTATTTTTTTATTCTTTAACTTTGGATTTCATTTGCATATTTTTATTAAGGTAGAAAACAAGTCATTGATGTGGTATGTTTTGGTTTAAGTGACGCTGCTCTGTATTTTCTGTTTTTCCCATCTCTTTATTCCCACCTCCTCTTTCTGCCTTCTTTGGATTAATTGAATTTTTTTTATGTTTGATTTTTTTTTTCCTTTGTTGGGTTATTTATTTTAACTCTTGGTTTTTTTATTATTACTGTTATTTTTATTAACATATACTATTTGTTTCAGGGGTACAGGTCTGTGATTCATCAGTCTTAAACAATTCACAGCACTCACCATAGCACATACCCTCTCCAGTGTCTGTCATCCAGCCGCCCTATCCCTCCCACCCACCTCCACTCCAGCAACCCTGTTTGTTTCCTGAGGTTAAGAGTCTCTTATGGTTTGTCTCCCTCTCTGTTTTCATCTAGTTTGATTTTTCCCTCCCTTCCCCTATTATCCTCTGTCTTGTTTCTCGAATACCTCATATCACTGAGATCATATACTTCTTTCTCTGATTGACTTATTTCACTTAGCATAATACCCTCTAGTTCCATCCACGTTGTTGCAAATGGCAAGATGTCATTTTTTTTTTTGATGGCTGCATAATATTCCATTGTGTATATATACCACATCCTCTTTATCCATTCATCTATTGATGGACATCTAGGCTCTTTCCATGGTTTGGCTATTGTAGACATTCCTGCTATAAACATTGGGATGCAGGTGCCCCTTCAGATCCCTACATTTGTATCTTTGGGATAAATATCCAGTAGTGCAATTGCTGGGTCTTGGGTAGCTCTATTTTTAACTTTTTGAGGAACCTCCATACTGTTTTCCAGAGTGGCTGCACCAGCTTGCATTCCCACCAACAGTGTAGGAGGGTTCCCCTTTCTCCACATCCTCACCAACATCTGTCGTTTCCTGACTTACTAATTTTAGCCATTCTGACGGGTATGACGTGGTATCTCATTGAGGTTTTGATTTGGATTTCCCTGATGCCAAGCGATGTTGAGCACTTTTTCATGTGCCTGTTGGCCATTTGGATGTCTTCTTTGTAGAAATGTCTGTTCATGTCTTCTGCCCATTTATTGATTGGATTATTTGTTCTCTGGGTGTTGAGTTTGATAAGTTCTTTATGGATTTTGGATACTAGCCCTTTATCTGATATGTCATTTGCAAATATCTTCTCCCATTCTGTCAGTTGTCTTTTGGTTTTGTTGACTGTTTCCTTTGCTGTGCAAAAGCTTTTTTTTTTTTTTTTTTAAGATTTTATTTACTTATTTGACAGAGAGAGACACAGCAAGAGAGGGAACACAAGCAGGGGAAAGGGGAGAGGGAGAAGCAGGCTTCCTGCAGAGCAGGGAGCCTGATGCGGGGTTCGATCCCAGGACCCTGTGATCATGGCCTGAGCCTAAGGCAGACGTTTAACAACTGAGCCACCCAGGTACCCCTGTGCAAAAACTTTTGATCTTGATTAAGTCCCAGTAGTTCATTTTTGTCCTTGCTTCCCTTGCCTTTGGCAATGTTTCTAGGAAGAAGTTGCTGTGGCTGAGGTTGAAGAGGTTGCTGCCTGTGTTCTCCTCAAGGATTTTGATGGATTCCTGTCTCATATTTAGGTCTTTCATCCATTTTGTAACTCTTTGTTTTTTAATTTAGTGTTTGCCTTTTATTTTATCACATCCACCTTTCAGTGATATTACATCTGTTACATCACTTCACATAAAATGTATTGATCTTACCATAGTGTACTTTGATTTATCTTTTACTGGTCTTTTAGCTGTTTTTACATAGATTTTATCTGCACATATGTTATGAAACCCATACTACATTATTAGTATTTTTGTTTAAATAGTTCTCTTTTAATGAGACTTAATTAGAAAAATTGTTACACATTTACCCATGTAGTTCTCTTTTCTAATGTTCTTCATATTTTAATTATTTAGGTCTTCTTTCCATCTGAATTCATTTTCCTTCATCCTTAGTACTTCCTTTAACATGTTTTGTAGTGTAGGTCTCCTAGTGGCACATTCCTTCACCTTTTGTATATTTGAAAATGTTTTTATATCACTTTTGTTTTTGACATATTTTCACTGGGTATAAAAATGCTCGGTGATTCTTTTTTCTTTAAAGAATTTAAAGATGTTGCTCTGTTTGCTTGCATTGTTTCTTTGAAGAATTCTTTCATCCTTATTCTTGTTCCTTTCTACATACATGTCTTTTTTTCCCCTGCTGCTTTTAAGATTTTCTTTTTATCAGTTTTAAGCCATTTGAGTATGATGTACCTTGGTGTAGCTTTATGTTTCTAGAGCTTGGAATTTGTTGAATTTCTGGGCTATGGTTTTGTAGTGTTTATCACAATTGGAAAATTTTGGCTTTTGTTCTTCCAACATCTTGTCTGTTTACCTTTTATCAAGAAATTTAGTTACATATATGTTAGGGTATTTAAGATTGTCCCAAAACTTGAAGAATGTCTGTTAAATTTATTTTAATCTTCTTTTTAAGCTTTTATTTTTTTATTTTAGAGAGAGAGAGCATGAGCTGCGGGAGGAGCGGAGGGGGAGGGAGAGGGAGATATTCTCCAGAGACCCTGTGCTAAGCCCATAGCCTGATGTGGGCTTGATCCCATGACCTTCAGATCATGACCTGAGCTAAAACCAAGAGTCGGATGCTCAACCAGCTGAGCCACCCAGGTGCCCCTTAATCTTTTTTTTCTATTTATGTTTTGACAGCTAATTTAGGTGTTGAGTAGTTAGTTGGAATTCTTTTTATTGCTATCTTTTTATTGCTATTTATTCAGGTTCACCAGTCTTTTCTTTCGCAGTGTCTAATTTGTTAATCTCATCCAGTGTGTTTTTAATTTTACGCATTGTAGTTTTAATTTGTACAAGTTCAGTTTGTGTCTTTTAGAAAATATTTCTACAATTTCCCTTAACTATTTGAATATGTGGAATATGGTTATAATACTTGTTTTAATGTCTTTACCTGCTAATTCTAAGGGCTGTGTTAATTCCGGATTGATTTTTTTTCCTCTCATCATGGGTTGTGTTTTCCTGATTTTTTTCCATGCCTGGTAATTTTGATTGTGTGCCAGACATTTATGAATTTTTACTTTGTTGAGTGCTGAGTATTTTTACATTCTTATAAATTTTCTTGACCTTTTTTTCTGGGAAATAATTTGATCTTTTGAGTCAGACTTCTGAGATTTTGTAGGTAACACCAGCAAGTATTTAATCTAATTATTCCTCACTCCTGAGAAGACACTACCCTGTATAATTTATCTTGATGCTTCCTAGTCTGATTGTTTAGAGTGTGTGTGTGCGTGTGTGTGTTTGTTTTTTAAGATTTTATTTTTAAGTAATCTTTACACCCAACATGGGGCTCAAACTCACAACCCAGAGAGTAAGAGTTGCATGCTTTATTGGCTGAGCCAGCCAGTTTGTTGCCTAGCTTCTCATAGTTTGCTGGCCATCTTTGGCATTCCTTGGCTTCTGCTGCATTATCCTGATCTCTGCCTTCATCTTCATATGATGTACTTCCTGTGTGCGTGTCTGTCTCTGTGTCCAAATTTCTTTTTCTTGTAAGGGCACCAGTCAGATTAAGGCCCACCCTAATGACCTTATCTTAACTAATTATATCTGCAATGACCCTCTTCTAAATAAGGTCACATTCTGAAGTACTTGGGATGAGCACTTCAACATGTGTTTTGAGAGGACACAATTAAACCTGTAATACCCCCCACCCCCGACATACCACTTTTATGCTCTTAGAGTCTTACTTTTGTTCTTCCCTCCTCTTGGGCTGCCCATTTTCCTTTCCTCTGCATAGCTTACTTTAAAACCCCCTACTAGTCATAATTAATCTGTATTTAGAAGGCATTTTTATTGTGCTTTTTATTATAAGTATTTACATGGCTGTTTGTTGCATAGACTTGTAGGTTTTGAAGAACTGGAGGACTCACTTTTGGAACTGTGTCCTAGGTCTTTGCTCTCACCCTGGTACCACCGTAGTGCGTTATCACTAGTGGTTTCTTGAATGTATTAAGGATTGTGTCTAAGTAGACAAGTTGTAGGAGTGAAACATTTAAGCATTTAGGAAGGATTGTGGAGGCTCAAGAATCTGGGGTTAGGGAAGCCACTTGGGAGGTGTTCATAGTAAGCCAGACATGCACGAATGTATTAAACAAGTACTCACTGTGCTTGCTAAGTAGAGAATCCTCTAATAGGTGTTAGGAATAGGTAGACCTGTGAAGATACCAGAATCTGCCTTCTATTCTTACGGAATTTACTGTCTGTGAAGAGTTACGAGGTAAGAGAACAGAGAAGATGCATACAAAGGAATTTTCTATGGAACCCTAGACAAAACTTGAAGAATGATTAGTTATTCAGGGTAGAGAATGAAGAAGAGTCAAAGAAGCATGAGATTAAGCCTGGCTGAGTGAGAGAGTATTTTGTTAGCAGAAATGGGAGGTCAGGTAAAGGCCTTCTGTTCTAGGGAGGAAGATAGATAAAATGATAGATAAAATAAGGGGAAACTCTAAGTAAACATTCCACATTGCAGAAAATTCAGAAATGAATAATGAATGGTAAACATGGGTCTTGCTTTCTCATAAAAGAGAGCTCATGAGCAGTTAATTGGGTGGAGGGGCTGATGTTAGAGTCAAGAGCAGGGCTTCCTGCTCTTGGTGGGTGATATCCTGAAAATGTTTGAAGGAGGAGTGAAAGGGCTAGAGACCTGGGAGGGGATGCTGGGATGATCACTTCTATTTCACTGATGAGGAAGCTGGGGCACAGAAAGCTCAGAAGGGTGTTCAAGAACATAGGTTATAAGTGATGGAGCTAGAATTCAAACCTGGGCAGTATGGGTTTTTAGTTCTGTGCTTTTAGGCAGTACTCTGAGCTTGTCACTAATTTTTTTCTTTAAATCTACTCACTTATTTAATATGTCAGGTTTCTTTCATAAAGAAACTGGAATGCTATGAGAAAGTTAGAACATCAGCCTCACTTGGCCCTGTTGGAAGACAGGAATAAAAGTAAGAAAACCAGAGTAATTCTGTTAAATTCATAAAATGTACAGAATGTATACCTGAAAATAATGGAACTATTTATGATCAGTTAGTAACTAAGGAATATTCTGGTAGATGTCAGGTGGTTTAAGATAATGAAATGGTGTGTGATACAAACAACAAATATTAAGCATTTATTGTGCAAAGCATTTCTCTTGGTGCTGGGTATGTACTAGTGGGTGAGACAGAGTCCTTGCTTTCATGGAGCTTACATTCTAATGGATAGATATAAATGTCTAAACAAGTAGATAGTTGGGGGAGCTGCAGTTTTTGTTAGGGTCAGGGGTGTTCTCTCCAAGGGAGTGCTTTACTTCTGGTTCATTTCACTTGTATCAGATAAATATGTGTCCGTGGGTTATTCCAGTTTATAATGACAATCACTGTCATGCATAAGATCTTGAAAACCTATTCTTGTATCTTGAACAGCCACTCTTTTTTCCATTTGGAGTAGAGGAATGACAGTTGTCCATATGAAAGCCCAGGAAGCTCCAGATAAGAAAGTAGTGATTTGTAATAGCTGTCCATTTTGTCACAAAGCCAAGAAAGAGGCAGGAATTTAGTGGCGTCTGGTCTTCTCTTTATTGGCAGTCTTAACATTCTTATTATTTGTTCATTTAGGGGTAACAGTGAGTAGATTTTTGCTTTTAAAACAGTGAGTAGATTTTGCCACCAGAAATGTCTTTGGCATTAAGAAAAGAAAGTAGTAATATGCAGAAGATGTAGTTGATGAAAGTCCCTGCTAGTGACCCATACATACTATCCATATTTCTCAATAGTTAATGTGGAAGAACATTTTATAACTGAAAGTTGGAACAAGTTTTCTGAGCACTAGACCTCTAAGTTCACTTATTTTGAATAAAATAGATTACACTGCACTGTCTCATTTTATCTGTTTCCTTATTGTTGCAATATTTTTGAAAACAAAGGCATATTTTTTTCTAAAACATTCTGAACTACATGCATAACTATTAAATGCTCACTGCAGCAAGTACAACTCAGCTATCAAGTTGGATTTTTTAGAAATTCAAAAAGAAAATAGCCTATTCAGGTCCACAGGGGGAGTTTTTGTTTTGTTTTGTTTTTCATTTTGATTGTCATTAAGTAGTTAATGGGAAAATTGGCACTACTTTCCAGCTATTAAAATATTTTACTGTCTTGGCATTTGAGAATTCATAGCATGAAAACAGCTTTCAAATCCTTCAGTTTTTGAATTTGTGTGGTGATTTAGAGTTTATAAAGTATGTTCACATGTGTGAGCTGATGTGACCCTCTTCTAGGTGTTGGAACGATTTGTCATCCCCACTTTGCAGAAAGGACAGCTAAGCCTTGGAGAAGGTCAAGGTCATACTGTGAGTTAGTAGGACTGAGGCTAGAATTTGTTTATGCTTTTTAATGCAGTATTTACTCAGAGCCTCCTGTATGCCATAGGCATTGTAGCCATTAAAACTAGCAAGTCCTGACTAGCACCCCTACTTCCTGCTGTTAAAGCACAGTATCTGGATAGGCAGAAGGAGTTCCTGCTTTGCTGGTGTTCTCTCTGTAGTGGTGCCCGCAGTTTTTGGTAAGACTCACTGCTCCACCAGTTGAGATACTGGTCTTGGTGACCATTTCTCCTTGTTAGCACTTGTCCTCGCTAGTGACAGTGATGACTTGGGAGGGGAGGAGAGGGCACAGCGTTACGTATAATAATCTCCCTATTCTCCTAATAGGAGGAATTGGTTCTTTTGTATCCCCCTCCTCAATCTGTGTTTTAGTCTCATGAGGTTGAGTTAGTTGAGTCGGGCCATAATAATTTTTGAGTGCTATTACATGCTCATTGACCAAAGATTTGTCAGTGAATGGAAGCTGCAGTTCCATCCTTAAGGACCTTGTATCGTAGTTGGGGTGAAAAGAGGTAATAACACAAACACATGTACTGTAGAAATGTATATTATATACATAAATGCATAATATTTCATATTATATAACTGTCATATAGTTATATATATAATATAAACACATTAGCATGTGTGTATATATGTGCATATGTATATGAATGATAATTTCAGAGTGCCTCATACTAACCTTGTTGCTTCTGATGTCTGAAGACCTCAAATCCAGCCTGCTGCCTTTTTGATAAATACACAGCCATACTCCCCGGTTTATGTATTGTGTGAGGCTGCCTTTGTACTACAAGGGCAGAGTTGATTAACGGCAACAGAGACTGTGTGCTTCACAAACTCTAAAATATTCACACTTTGACTTTAAGAAAAAGTTGGCTGATCCCTGCTCAAACCTTGACAGCCACTGTATTTGAGGTTATGGTTCAGCTTCAAAGCTAGAAAATAAAAAGACTGATTTGAGTAGCCAACAGTGATGACAGATGGTTGGAACTTTGGGATGTAGAGGTAGTTTCCATCCCCTGGGTGTGGGATGGATCACTGTGGTAAATGAAGAGGTGGAGGTGACTAATTTTGCTTTGAGGTAGGGAGCCTGTTAGTTTTCAGAGAACGTTTATTGTTGGTGTTTTCTGTTAAGTGTGAATTGTGTATGGTGATATAAAAACAGTACATTAAAATGATAAAGTAATAAAAGTGTATATAAAGTAAATAATGACATTTGCTCTTGTTTCCCTAGAGTTCCACTCTTCAGAAGTATTAGTTAATAAGAGCTGTTAAAGAGATGGATTTTTCTGTCTAAATATTACCTTCCAAGTAATTTTTTAAAAACCTGTATTTTTGATCTTTTTTCCCCATTGTGACTTCTTGGTTGACTTGGTTCCTCAAAATGCAAAGAATAATGGTTGTACAGTTGAGTTTTTGTTACTTATAATATTAATGTAAAATATTTTAGAAAGAATTTTAATAGAAACCTTTCTGTCCGTTGATGAGTTGACACTGTAGATTTTTACAATTATCCTTTATTCTAAATATTAAAGTACTTGTGTGATATCACTATTTTAAATCTTAAAAATTTTAATAAAAATTTTTATGCTACCCATAACCAGAATACCTGGGAAATACTTGAAGAATACTGATGTCTGTTCTCCATTTGAGACCTGAGTCCACATTGTTAGAAGTTGGGGTGTCTTCTGTTTTTTTTGTGTGTGTGTATTTTCTGTATTTTTAAAAGCTCCCCAAGTGAGCTATTGAGAAGGTAGCACTTTTTATAATATAACTGCTTTCATTATGAAAATTTGTAGGAAAATAAAATCTGTAGGAAAATACGCTTCTAGTATAGGTCATGATTTCTCCTGGAAAAACATTTGTATACTGAATTTTTTTGAATTCAGATACTGAACAGAGGAGAGAAATATATGTATAAAACAGGGATTATTTTGGTTTGAATGTTCATATCAGTTCTTTTCCTCTCACCCTCTCCTTTTGTACCTATTCTCCAAAAAAAAGTCTATCCCCTCTAAACCAAAACCACATATTCTTAACTTGTGGGAGGTAACTTTGTATTAGTGCAGATCCTTACTAACAGTAAGTGTCCTATATTTGGTCAGTGTTTTCAAACTTGGAAATAACATTTAAGTATTTACTAACCTTTCTAGGTAGATACTAATATCTGTATTCATTTTGGTAGGCTAACGGGTATAACAAACATATCCAACCTATCAGTGGTTTAAATCAGTAAAGTTTATTTCTTACTCATGTAATAGCCCATTGACATCTACACCAGGGGATAACTGCCCTGCTCTATACAGTTATTCAGGGATGGTAGACATTTTTCCTATAGTATATACATACATACAGTGTCCAGAAGTCATCACCCTGGGTTTTAGCACCCAGTCATCAGATTGGGAGAAAAGTATGTATACATGGGAGATTTTTTTCCTTTTTAAAGATTTATTTATTTATTGGGGGGGGTGGCAGAGAGAGGAGGAGGAACAGAGGGAGAGGGAGAAAAGCAGGCTTCCTGCTGAGTGCAGAGCCCAAGGCAGGGCTTGATCTCATGACCCTGAGATCACGACCTGAGCCAAAATCAAGAGCCAGATGATTAACTGACTGAGCCACCCAGGTGCCCTTACATGGGAGATTTTTATGGGTTAGGCCTGTAGTACCACACAGCACTTACGTTGATATTCTTTGGAAATATCTTAGTCACGGGGCCATGTTAGCTGCAGGGGGAGCTAGTTACATCAGTCAGGAAAAAGAAATGCTTTTGGTTATTGATGAGCAATCTAGTCCATATGGCAAATGCAGCCACCATAAATGTCATCAGCAAGACATTGATTTATTCTATGTAGTTATTATTGTTCCTTTACTCATTCTCCCATGTTTCTGCTATATATATATATAGTTTCTGATATATATATATATATATATATATAAAATAACCAACCCCCCACCTGTGATCTTTTTTGGGGGTAGGGGTGATGGTCCCTCATTGTTCATTTATGTGTGATAGTCAAGGTTCTTGGATGCAGACAATAGATACTCATCCTTGGCTAACTTGAGCAGAAGAAAATGAATTTAATGGAGGGCTATAAGTTTGCCACAGAATTGTTTGGGAAGGTGGAGACTGTGCTAGAAAAATAAGTAGGAACCAAAGAGGCAGGCAGCAGAGGACACAGCCAGGGTTGAGCCGTGGGCCCTTCTATTCAGGGCACCACTCGTGGCATTTCACAGTGAATATCTGTGTGAATATGCTCTCACTGTCCCTGCACCTTGCAGGAGTGACTCCTCAAGTTCCTTAACTCTGAGCCGGAACATTTGACTGTTCAAACTTTAGTTATTAGCAAACCCTGGTTACCGA